TTCTTAATTTTTCTCCTAAACAATTACAAGGCCTAGATGTAGTACAGAATGATGCCATGCGCATCATCCTGGGTTGTCCTAGAACTGTCAGAATTGTTAACATGAGAAAGGAACTAAACTTACCTTCCATTTACGAAAGAATAGTTCTACTTAGTACTATGTTTTGCGCCAAAACTTTGAAAAATAATGGTCCCCCCAGCTCTATTCAAATTAAATTGAGATCCATTCTAAACAATTCTGACTGTTCCCTCAATCCGCCGCAAAAAGCTCCCTACAGTGTGTGGCTCAGTTGTTGTGTCTATAATCTTCAGAAACTGAATGTATCTCTTAACCCTGATAAAACTGTTCACTATATTCCCCCTTGGAAAGATGTGGAGGTCTCTCTGCATTATACTCCCATCAGTGTAAAACAAATGTATAACACTGACATTTTGAGATGTATAACATTAGAAGCTATTGACAGTCATCTTCAAATTCTCAAACCGACTGAATCCTATGCCTTTACTGATGGCTCTGTGCAGTTAGGCACTGGTAGAACAGGTTGTGCATGTGCAGTGTATAAAGGGAATGAAATGATCATGACTAGTACACAGAGATTGAACAACTGGGCAAGCACGACACAGACCGAGCTATTGGGTATTTATCTAGCCACTGAATACCTTAAGCTCAATGGTGGTGGAGTTATTTTCTGTGACTCTAAAAGTGCTCTGCAGTCCTTAAATAACCCATCACAATGTATGTCGGAAGTAGCTTGTAATATTAAATGGAATGTAATTTTTGCCAATGATAATAATTCTTGTATAAAATTTGTGTGGATCCCATCCCATGTTGGAGTTGAAAAACATGACTTTGTAGATCAATTGGCCAATGAGGCTTGCAGGAAAGAAAACATTGATTATGATTTTGGACTATCTAATGCAGTTATTAGAAACATACAAATTAAAGAAATTAATTCAGATTTAGAAGAACTAAGAAATGCACAGAGACCTGAAAGCTGCAGTATTAAAAGTTATGACAAGTTCTGTAATAATAGGTATTTGTATGGTCAGCACAGTAACCGGACCAGGCAATGTGATGTAGTAATCGCGCGAATTCGCCTTGGCTATAGACACATCTGGCAGGTTAGTGAGGCTGAGCCACTACCAGAATATTCAGATTGTAAACTCTGTGATAAACCTTTAATGCATTCACTAGAACACTATATTGATGAATGTGAAACCGTAAAGGACTTTAGACCTCCTGGCCTATTGTACCACCAACTGTGTAACTATTTTATTGACTCAGGTGTTCTGGACGACATCCTAACAATTTACCCAAAATTTGCTTGTCCATTTTAAAGAATGAAGAACAATTTCTACTTATATTCTAAGCTGTATCACTTATAAACCCATCCCTGCACTTGTGTGGCAGTGCACAATAGAAAGTTGTTTCCACATATCCACACATTAAAACATTGATTGTAACCGTGATATATATGTGCTTCAGCCTACAGTTTAGGCCTATTGTCTTATGTATGACCCTCTGTCCTGCGTGACAGTGAATACTAGCATTAACCTCAATTTAATAAGACTATCAAAATCCTCAGATTAGGCAAAATTGTAATTAATTTTGTCAATAAAGATGTTAATAATAATAATGCTTTAAGTACGTGCCTGTGAGGAGGGTCAGAAAGAGGACCACTCTAGAAAGAGAACGCAGACGACTGTACAGAAGGAAAAAAATAATGGAAATGCTTCGGCAGACACGACTATGACAAGAAAGGAAAATAAACCTAAACAGGGAGATTGAAGAAACAGAACAAACGTTGAAGCGATCATACGAGTCTGAGGAAATGGAATTGGAACAGAATGCTATACAAGAGATAAAGAAAAATCCGAAATATTTTTTCACATACGTAAAATTAAAATAAAAAAACTCCACCAGTATTGAACCGTTAATTACAGCTGAAGGTACGTACACAGAGGACAACAAAATTAGTGAAATTCTAAGAAGCCAGTATGAGGCTATGTTTAGCACACCATTAAACAAAATGAAAGTTCCAAAACGTGGATCAGGAAAGATCCAGAAAGTTTCTTTATGAATGACATCCAAGCTGAAGATAATATAACAGATATTAACACGAACTCGGAAGACTTTGACAGAAACTGACAATAAGCCCATGCACTCAGCTCCTGGGCCTGACTCGTGGCATTCAATATTCATTAAGAAATGTAAAGTACAAATAGCGTGAGCGCTCAGTTGCAGATATAGCTCCTCTGCACAAGGGGGGTAGTAAAGCCTTGGCAAAAAATTTATAGACCAGTTGCACTAACATCACACACACAAGTTTTTTGAAAGAGTTATTAGGAATAAAATTTCTAGTTTTATGGAAAATAATGAACTACACAACACAGGACAACATGGATTTAGAGCGGGCAGATCCTGTCTGTCACAGTTATTCAACCACTATGACAAAATCACAGAAGCTTTAGAAGAAAAACAGAATGCAGATGTTGTATACACAGACTTTGCAAAGGCATTCGACAAATATGAACATAGTGTGATAGCACACAAAATGAGGTCAATGGGAATAACTGGTAAAGTAGGACGCTGGTTACTCAATTTCCTGTCGAACAGAACACAGAGTAACAGTCAATCAAATAAAATTGAGTCCAAGCGCAGTTAAAAGCTCTGTATCTCAGGGTACAGTCCTTGCACCACTGCTTTTCCTTATTCTCATATCAGATATAGACAAAAATGCACGTCACAGCTTCGTGCCGTCCTTTGCAGATGACACAAAAAATCAGCATGAAAATTACCTCTGCTGAAGACATTGAAAAATTACAAGCAGATATTAATAAAGTTTTCGACTGGGCAGCAGAAAATAACATGAAATTTAGCAGTGATCAATTCCAAGTCCTCAGGTACGGTACAAATGAGGACCTTGAACATAATACAGGGGACAAAACACAATAAAATTTGCCCATAGTAGGAAAGCAACATGTAAACGATTTGGGAATAATGATGTCCGACGATCTAACGTTTAGGGAGCATAACCAAGCAAATATTGCGTCAGCCAGAAAAATGATTGGATGGATTACGAGAACTTTCAAATCCAGGGATCCCATCACAATGGTTGTACTCAAGTCACTTGTGTTGTCCCGTCTCGAGTACTGCTCAGTACTCACTTCCCCCTTCAGAGCAGGAGAGATTGCTGAAATAGAGGGAATACTGAGAACATATACGGCACACATAGACGCGATAAAGCACCTAAATTATTGGGATCGTCTCAAAGCACTCCAAATGTACTCACTAGAAAGGAGACGAGAGATATATCAAATAATATACACGTGGAAAATACTGGAGGGCTAGGTCTAAAATCTACACAGTAAAATAACAACGTACGGGAGTGAACGATATGGACGAAAATGCTGAATAGAACCAGTGAAGAGCAGAGGTGCCATAGGCACAATCAGAGAACATTGTATAAACATCAGAGGTCCGCGGTTGTTCAACGTCCTCCCAGCGAGTATAAGAAATATTGTCGGAACAACCGTTGACATCTTCAAGAGAAAACTGGACTGTTTTCTAAGAGAAGTTCCGGACCAACCGGTCTGTGGTGGGTATGTGGGCCTGCGGGCCGCTCCAAGCAACAGCCTGGTGGAGCAAACTCTCACAAGTCAAGCCTGGCCTCGGGCCGGGTTAACAAACAGATATTAATATATTAATACAATTTATTATTTTATTAGATTAATTATTAATAAAAGAATACATCAAGCAGGTTTCCTCACCCCAGAAGGATTCGAAGCCAGATAGGCATGGCTCCATGCATCTTAGCGTGCCAGGGGCTCCATGCATCATAGCGTGCCAGGGGCTCCATGCATCTTAGCGTGCCAGGGGCTCCATGCATCTTAGCGTGCCAGGGGCTCCATGCATCTTAGCGTGCCAGGGGCTCCATGCATCTTAGCGTGCCAGGGGCTCCATGCATCTTAGCGTGCCAGGGGCTCCATGCATCATAGCGTGCCAGGGGCTCCATGCATCTTAGCGTGCCAGGGGCTCCATGCATCTTAGCGTGCCAGGGGCTCCATGCATCTTAGCGTGCCAGGGGCTCCATGCATCTTAGCGTGCCAGGGGCTCCATGCATCTTAGCGTGCCAGGGGCTCCATGCATCATAGCGTGCCAGGGGCTCCATGCATCATAGCGTGCCAGGGGCTCCATGCATCTTAGCGTGCCAGGGGCTCCATGCATCTTAGCGTGCCAGGGGCTCCATGCATCTTAGCGTGCCAGGGGCTCCATGCATCATAGCGTGCCAGGGGTTCCATGCATCTTAGCGTGCCAGGGGCTCCATGCATCTTAGCGTGCCAGGGGCTCCATGCATCTTAGCGTGCCAGGGGCTCCATGCATCTTAGCGTGCCAGGGGCTCCATGCATCTTAGCGTGCCAGGGGCTCCATGCATCTTAGCGTGCCAGGGGCTCCATGCATCTTAGCGTGCCAGGGGCTCCATGCATCTTAGCGTGCCAGGGGCTCCATGCATCTTAGCGTGCCAGGGGCTCCATGCATCTTAGCGTGCCAGGGGCTCCATGCATCTTAGCGTGCCAGGGGCTCCATGCATCTTAGCGTGCCAGGGGCTCCATGCACCACGCACCAGTGTTGCTCACGTGCATGAGAGGTGATTTTATGAAATATCTGTGCCCAAAATTGGTCACGGAGTGCTGTTGGGAACTGGGTTAAGTGTCTGACGCCTTCCAATTCATTTAACAGTCGTTGTGGCCTACTGGTGAAAGTAGAAGACACGCTAAGGTGCACGGAGCCCCTGGCTGGCAAGGTTTGAATCCTTCTGGGTTGCCGAGTTCTCTGTTGCATATTGGCTTGGGGACCATTCAAGCTTCTTCGCATGCATGCATATTCTTTATATAATATATATATAATAAACTGGTGCTTATTGAAGGGTTTATATAATAAACTCTTCAATAAGCACCAGTTTCTTTATATATAAAAAATAGAGGGGTGGGGTCCCTTACCTTGGTTCTGTTGAGAGGGATGGAGAAGTCCCAGTCAGGAGCAACAAAGAGGTAGCCACACTTGGACACCTTCCTGCTCGCCTGTAACACAAACACCACCATTAATACACTTACACAAAACACATTTGTCTTACGTCTTACATAAACGACATATAAATATATATATATATATATATATATATATATATATATATATATATATATATATATATATATATATATATATATATATATATATATATATATTATATATATAAATATCCAGGTCTCCAGGCATATATGCAACTGAAAACTCACACCCTAGAAGTGACACAAACCCATACTGCCAGAAGCATCTGATGTACAGTATCCCTTAACCACTCGACCAACACGACCGGACAAAAGAGGATGGTAGTCGAGGTTAATTGCCCGTTCCCCTTCCGGCGCTCTGTTGGCAGTCTTGGGCATTTATTTGTCCCATTACTATTAATTTTGTTTCATTAAATTTGATTAATTTCTATTTCTGTGTTTTGAGTTCACCCATAAAAATATATTTGTCGTCGTCCCACGGGATCCACGAGCCTGTGACTACTGTACGGCCGGTATATGCTTCAAGCAAGCCTATTCTATTTAATATCAGATGTATTTCCTTGGTTTTCGATCTAATCCGCACTTAACGTAAATTCATCCCTCCATTTTCGATTAATTTGGGATCCACATGCGGAGAAATATGTCTAGTTGACGGTTTCCTGTTTCATCGTCAATTAGGGGGCTATTCAGGGTGAAGTGGAATCAGGTGGTGGCAGCTGAGAAGATCATAGTTTGTTAAGGGGCCCAGTACCTGGGTGCTGTGTACCAACTGTGGACCAGCTATGTACCAGCCTGGGTACTATTAAGAGACGAGGAGAGTGGGAGTTGGGAGAGGACTGACGAGGGTCAAATTAATTATGGTGGCCTTAGCAGTGGGCGGCTGCCCCCCCCCATCCCCCATCACCACACTGCCTACACCACGCCACACCTAATTCCACCTGGAACATTATCTCACTGTGCAACAGGTACTGTGAGAGAGAACTATCAACATCAGAGGCCCGAGACTGTTCAACACGCTTCCACTACACATAAGGGGCATAACTGGCCGACCCCTCACAGTGTTCAAGAGAGAACTGGATAAACACCTCCAAAGGATACCTGATCAACCAGCCTGTGACTCATACGTCAGGATGCGAGAAGCCGCGTCCAACAGCCTGGTTGACCAGTCCAGCAACCAGGAGGCCTGGTTTGAGACCGGGCCGCGGGGACCTCAAGGTAACCCGTAGCTAACCAAAAAACCCAAATGTTCAACTGAACCCCAAAGTTCATTTAGCTCGGCAAGTTATAGTCTTGTGACCCATGTGGTTGAGGACGTGGCCCACAACTGTATGCACACCAATTGGCCTGTAGTGAGGCAGTTACAGTTACTAACCACCCCCCTCCCTCCCTCACACACACACACGCACACACACACACCCAACGGCCGCTGGGTGTGGACAGTGACGGGCGCACACTGCCCGCACTCTCACCAAACTTTGCATATTGTGGCTAAAATTGTGAAAGAAATACTTATACAGTTAACATTCGTAAACCTGTGAATTCCGTGATTTTTAACATTCAGTGACGTAGCATACCAATGACGTCTGGGGGAGTTCTTCAGTCCGGGCTGTGCTGGGAGCGGCCCGCAGGCCCACATACCCACTCCGAGCTGTGCTGGGAGCGGCCCGCAGGCCCACATACCCACTCCGAGCTGTGCTGGGAGCGGCCCGCAGGCCCACATACCCACTCCGGGCTGTGCTGGGAGCGGCCCGCAGGCCCACATACCCACTCCGGGCTGTGCTGGGAGCGACCCGCAGACCCACATACCCATTACAGCCTAGTCTGCAGACAGTTTACCTGTGGTCAGCTCTACCTCAGCAGGAGGTACAGCCTCCCGCAGGAACCTGTAGCCCAGCCTAAGCCTAGCAGTGATAACGTCCAGAGAAGCCTGGTGACGTTAGCGGGGGAGTCATAGAGGCGCTCCTGCACCTCACAATGACGACAGGTGAAGTAACTCATGTGACTGTCACTTCACCTCAAGTCTACTAGTGTTACAGTGCCCTCTACATGTCTGCTCCCAGGCACTACAATATGGTGATCAACTCCCTCTTTAACAGCTCCTGCTTTGGCTGACTCGTCAGTTGTATCACGCATGCACAGGACAATACGAGGAGGATCCGTAGCAGACAAGAGCTATGATTATTTTATTATATATATGTGGCTAGCGTGAGACACAAGCACGTCACAGTTACGCCTTGAGGAGTTTAGGAGACTCAAGGGTGAGGAGGAGTCCCTTACACTTAAGGTGTCGACTTGGGATACATATACTGCCACGAGTGCACCGGGTGACACCATTTGGTCACCACTTGGTCCGGGAGACATCTCCCGTCACGCAGGGTGCAGTTGCGCCTCCACAGATCTCCAGTATCATCTTCTGATACTGGTAATGGCTCGAAAGGGCCACCACTTACGGGCTATTCATGCCCGTGCCACCTCTTGGGTGGCTTAATCTTCATCAATCAATCACCGGGTGACACACAACTGTCAAGAGTGCACGGCCAGGTGTTGACAGCAGTTGCCTGGACGCGCCTCTGGTAGTCCCACCACCGGCACCTTCAGGGGCACCACCACTGGACATGTGCAGGGCACCACCACCGGTGAGGGGGAGAGGTGTACGGGCCCGCCACCAGTCTGGCTTGGGACAAGGTGCGAGGGACCCCCACAACAGTTGCCTCACTCCCGGGGACCCATTGACTGCTAGGCTCCCTCACGAGTGTCAGTCAACAGCGAAGCCAACTTTGCCACGAGAGCCTTGTACAACAATTAGCAAGCGAGCACTGGTGAGAGACGGGGGGGGGGAAACGCAGGCAACCCTCACAGTAACTATTACACACTTCCTCCACAAACTGCTTAACTACCCAAGCTTAATGACCTAATTATGTGATTACCGTCACCCCCCCCCGGCTGCTGCTCCCTGGTAGCCGGACAAACAACTCAATCGCGGCACTTAATTATTGGTTTAGTGCGCTAATTACCAGGAAGGTGATCGGTGTGGACCAAACGATCGTTAAGAGAGACGAGGTCTTCACAGATCATAACTGATAAACTACAAGAGCTAATTACCAAGATATCCCGGGGCCTTAACTGTCCAACCAGAGACAAGGTCATTGCGAAGGTTAACGACCCAACTACAGGCCCCTGGCGCCCGACCAGCGTGCCACGCCGCGAGCTTAACGTCAGATAATTCAGCCTGGGAAACTTAAGTGCGGTAGCTAAGTGTACTTAAGACCATGTGGGCCCACCTGACTGTTGTGTCTAGTGACCAGAGAGGAAGGTGAGGAGCACCACTAGGGACCCGTCTGCTGCTCCCCCCTCCCCCCCTCTCTCTCTCACTTGATAATAAATGTGAGTTGAAGTCCTCCTGGACGCACGCACGGACGGACGGACGGACGCACATTGCGTCGACAAAGAAAACGGAGAGAATTCTACAAGAAGAAGTACATGAAGAAAGTAACCAGGGAGTAATACGGGGAGCAGGCGAGCACCAGGACAGTCTTCACGAGTCAGCATTCAGTCAAAATATCAATTTTCTCATATATAAATTAATATTATATATTATTATTATATTGTGCATATTTTGGCGTAGGTTAAGTCAGGTGTTGTGGTTCTGTTGGCGATGACATTTGAAGTACGCGGTCAAGCTTGACAGTTACGATTCGAACAAAGGACGTCAGCGAAACAGAGTTGGAGAAGTGTTGGAACGTCGTAAGATGAGAGTCGTGTGTACAGCGTTGTCATTCATAACCATTGGGTTGGTGGGTGTGGGTAATCACCTGTGGCCTTTGATGACGAGGACGGCCGCCTGGCCTAGTACCTACGAGGAGCTACACTACAAGTTCCTACGCTCAGCATGGAGGCTTCACACACACAAACAACGGAAAACGAAGCTGGGAGACGGTACAGGAGTATGTTACAGGGCATTTCTCATCCACTTTTCTCACTACGCCCACTCCACTTTCCTCCCCCTCCCTCCTTTATCCATGACCGTTCTTCCGCGCTCCTGCACGTTCCGTCACCCCCCTCCCTCCCCCCTTCCCCGCCCCCCACAGAGGGAGCAAGGAGCACAAGAACCCACTCCACAAATGTCACACCATTCATAAACTTCTCCAAGACTGGATGCTGACCCCGCCCCCCACCAACACCACCGCCAACACTACTGCCGGCTGGCCTGCCTGGCTGCCGTCTCTTTTTAAACTTGATAAAATAGGGTTATGCTTTTCATTTCTGGTGCTGTTATACCGACTTGCACCACCACCACCAGCACGAGGACACACCAAGCCGTTCATCCCAGTTTTCAGAGTGAGAGGGTTGTGTATGGGGGCCAGAGCTGACAGGTCTACCAGGCACACACACACAAGAGGTGTTACACCCACAAGCGGTACTTGGCAGAAGAGGGAGAAATGTGACTGTTTATTTTGACTTCACGAGACGCGCCCACATCAAAATGTTTAAGTCGGCTCGTAATTATTGCGTGAATGACCAACCCACTCCCTCGGTGACGGTCTCCCTGGAGATGGTTGCCACAGCCACAGTCCCCGCTGCATGACTAGGCCTCCTGGCTGGTGATCTGCTCAACCAGGCTGTCAGGTGCCGCTGCTCGCAGTCTGGCAGCCCCGTGGATCACATATGATTTGGAGGTGTTCACCAAATTCTCTTTTGGGCAGCAACACAATTTGCTACAGTAGGGGGGTAGGGGTCGAGGTACTGGTGAACAGTGCGAGGCGTCACCTGGTGCGGGCACCGCGGCACTCACAGTATCACTGCTACACTGACACCTCTGTACAGCTGTACCGGACACACGTGTAATGCCTTGAAAGTATCGTATCTAGCTGAGTGACCTGTGAGGCGTGTCAGAGCCTCTCCAACACGGCTTGTCGCCGACCTTGTGAGCCCTCAGGCCGGGGGCCCTCAGGCCGGGGGCCCTCCAGGCACAGAACGTCCAGCGACGCAGGTTCGATCCCATTGCACAGCGT